TATACAAAGTCTGTTGTAAGTAAGCAGTAGCTGTTATTAATTAGCCTCAGGCTTACCAAATAGAATTTCTCAGCACCAAAAAGCAGCAGTTGTTCTGGAGGTTGCTGTGTAGGTACTAGGCTAACCCTTTCGGGGGTTACGCTTACTGTTGTTTATCCAAGCAAAATGCCCACAGAAAGCAGATGGCCATCTTTCTGAGCAGAGGCACAGAAGATCAGCTGGCGGTGCTTGGCATGGGAGAACCTGCAGAATTATGCTGAATCCTGCAAAGCCTGAAAATTCAAAGGAAAAACCTGTGGCGGGGAAAAGCCTGCCGTAGGCTGACTGTTGCTGTCGGGAGGCGCCACCAGCCAGCCAGTGAGGAGTTTGTGGGGTGGCACAGTGCCATCCTGCGGGCTACTGGGGTATTTGACATTGGGATGGGCAACCTGGCAACCTCTGGTAGAGTTTGGCCACCAAGGCTCCATCCGCATGGGGCGAGTTGCCTGCCTCGGCATTTAAAGCATCTAAGCGGCTTCCTTTGTGGCTGGAGAGCTCTGCTGGGGTGTGCCATGGACCCTCCACAACGTTCGTGAAGCTCTACGCCCTGGCTGTCCAGAAGCAGGACTCACAAGGCAGAATCCTCCCCGATAACAGAGATACAGCCCATTATTTTGTTTTGTTTTGTTTTGTTTTGTTTTGTTTTGTTTTGTTATTTAGCTGAGCATGGACTCTTTCATGACATGAGAGAGGGCAGCTTCTTTTTGTGCAGTGAGCAGGACCCATGCTGCTAGGAGAGCCCCCTGGCCACCAGGCAATAGAGGGGACTGGTTTAGGGAGTGATGGAACTGTTGGAGTTGGAAGGGACCTTCTAGAGATCATCCAGTCCAACTCCCCTGCCAAAGTAGGGTTGCCCAGAGCACGTCACTCTGGATGGCATCCAGGTGGGTCTTGAAGATCTCCAGAGAAGGGGACTCCACACCCTCCCTGGGCAGCCTCTTCCAGGGGCCTGCCACCCTCACCCTAAAGAAGTTCTTCCTCCTATTTGAGTGGAACTTCCCATGTTCCAGCTTGTGCCCGTTGCCCCTTGTCCTGCCTGCCCCTGCCCCTGGGAACCACTGAAAAGAGTCTGGCTCCATCCTCCCTCAACCCACCCTTTAGATACTTGTCAGCATGAATAAGGTCTCCCCTCAGCCTTATCTTTTCCCAGCTCTCGCAGCCTTTCCTCATCTTGTAGATGCTCCAATCCCTCCATCATCTTTGTTGCCCTTCGCTGGACTCTCTCCAGCAGTTCCCTGTCTCTCTTGAACTGGGGAGCCCAGAACTGGACGCAGGATTCCAGTTGTGGCCTCCCCAGTGCAGAGCAGAGGGGGAGAATGACCTCCCTCAACCTACTGGCCACACTCTTCCCTACGCAGCCCAGGATCCCATTGGCCTCTTGGCCACAAGGGCACATTGCTGGCTCATGGGTAGTTTGCTATCCACCAGGACCCTCAGATCCCTCTCCTCAGGAGCAGCAGGATGTTCTCCTTGCTGATGAAGCTTTGTGGGACATAGGATTAGTGATGCAGAAGAGGAGGTATGACTCCAGAGCACTCCTTGGAGCAGGGAATGAGACCTCCTGCTCTTTGCACCTTCCTTCTTTCCTGGGTGAGAATTTTTCTACCAGCACTTGCCCATCTGCTTTCTTCTGTCGTTCTGCCAGTGGATCTTGAAATCGTAACACTTTGCAAAGACCATATAAATAGGCATCTCTCAGAGCACCTGGTCACCAAATTGCTAATGCCTGGAGCTTTGGACCAGTCTTTGGAGGCAGCTGCGGGAAAGGAGAGCACAGAAAGAAGGTGTCTTGTATCCTGGATGAGTGCCCTCACCCCTGAGTTGTTTTACAAAAGGAAGCAACTAACCCTTGCTGGCTCTTCCCCGTCTGGTGTGATGGGAGAGAAAGTGGTGGTTTTGTTTCTGGATGCCTGTACAAGACCCGCATTCTGCTTTCTGAAATTCAGTCCCTTTGGAGTGTCAAGGTGAGCATCCGACATCACCAGCCACTTTGGAAATTCCTGGTTTAGCTTTGTACTTTCTATTACAATATTATGTGAAAGTAGGTAAGCAATAACTGAGTAATGAGTAAGTCATAGGCTGAAAAGGAGTACTTTAGTATTTAATTTATATTATGCTTCCACAGTTGCCTTACTTCATGTCAGTTCCTTTCAGATACTTTATTATTTTTACATTTTCAGACTTATAGGCATAGAATAATCCTCTTCAGTCACTCTGCATTCTTCTGGCCCAGTCAAAGTCCTTCCTGTCCCTTTCTCTGTGTGAGTGATAGTAATCATTATTTAATTGGTGCTTTTGTACACCATTATAGACTTGGATCTACTTTCATATCAGACCTTCAGTGCTGCCATTATACTAGCTAATCCCTTGCTTATTTGAAAGATTTAAGATGAGAGTTTTGCTGTCCTTTGGCCATTCTCTTTGGGATTTTGACAATATTTTCGATGTTGAATGATTATGTCATGTCTCTCTTTATTTACTGGGACCATTTCTATTGCTACTAATGTTATGTTTTGCATAATCTTCCCGTGGACAGGCAGATGACATTACATACCTTAACCATGCACTACTTCCAGTGCAAGAGGAGTCTTTTTGCTGCAAAGGAGCCTTACTAAATAAATTCACAATGATGAAGCAGCATGGATTTTCTCCTTCTACATCAGGGAAACAAGCTATAAGGAAGTATATTTTACAACTTTTAAGCATTTGTTGGATAATTAATGTACACAGTGGATAAAACGAGGTCCCATATATCAACTCTTGAATATGTTCAATACTCTACTCTTTTCCAGTAGAACATCTCTAAAGCCTTTGGGGAGGATCCACCTCAAGTACATTAGTATAAAACTAATAGAAGAATCAGAAATCAGACCAACCAACCCCACTATGATTGTTCACTGTGCAGAAAACTATAGAAATTTGTCGTGGGTTCACTTAATGCTGCTGTTGCAGACGTCTGTGTCTGCCTGTGAGTTGTCTGATAGGGTCTCTGATGAGGTCTCTCCAAGCAATCACTCGTATCCATATATTGTTGCTCTGAATTTTTGGAAAGCTATGAGCTGGACTTGTCCAGTCTGGTCTCTACAGACTTTTTCATTCTCTGTAATACTTGAATTGAAAACTTCCCTCCCCAACATATAAACCTGCAGGAAAAAGCTTACATGAAAGAGAATTCCATGAGGGAATTTTGCTTTGAAGATCAGCACAGAGTTAGCCTGCAAATCAGAGATTTCTCACAGTTTTGGTGAACTCAAGGCAGGTGGGCCATACCTTTTGTTGGTAGAGTTGGCTTTTTCCTAGAAAACCTTTTGAAAGGCAAATGCATTTTATGAGTTCTCACTTGTAATATTTTACATATCTCTATATATCTATAGCCTTTGCCTGTATATGTAGCTTCTGTGTAAGAATGCATTTATAGTTATATTTTTCATATACATTACATATACATATTTATGTATGTTATGTACCACTGCCATTTTCTCCTTTCTGAATCTAAAATAGAGCACTTTGTAGGCTTCTCCTGTCTCTAATGTTTCTCCCAATTTCTTTTGCCTCCTAACGGCTTTGGCAATCTTGCAACCAACTTTCTGGGCCAGAGCCTTCTCACTAGTGCACTCTTTTTATAGCCTGGTCTTGGTCTTTTACTGGCTACTTGGATCATTGTTGAGCAGTAGCAGGAGTTGTGGGAGCACGAGAACTGGAAAGTCTATGGTCTTTGTGGTGGAATAAGCTGCTTTCACACCCCTGTACTGAGCAGGAAATGGTGTGAAAATACTTTGTAAATATATAAATGGTGTAAATTCCTTGCAATGCAAGGATTGAGCTACTCATAGCATTTAGGCAAGGTATATGCTTTACTTTTTTATACTTGCAACTAGCCCTGTCACACAATTAAATTTTCTGACCCTCAGATTTTTGTTTGCTTGGAACTCAGTCCAAAAATGATTAAATTAATATCAGATCCTAACCATGTATTATAGCGACACGTAAGCCATCCTGTGTAAAGAAAAAAGCAACAGATAACCTTTAGGGGCATGTTAGACTGGCAGAATTCAGGCTTTGCCCTGTTGACATGCAGAGGGAAAAGGTATGTAGGTATTGCTTGCATTATGAAAAACTGTTATGTGACTTTTCAGATTGTAACAGACTTTGTCTAATTCAGGAAGGCCCAAGTGCCACATTTATTCCAGTTACTTCTGTCTTCCCTTTCTCTCTCTTTTGTTATGGAGGACTGCAGATATTTTTAATAACTTATGCGTAGCCCCTTAGGTTTCATGTGTCACTAATACAGATGGACCTAGATGCAGCTAGAATGGACTACATCAAAGTATGACAATGGAGAAATCTCTCAACGAAGAAAAGTCCTTGCAGGCCCAACACATTTTCTTTTAGTTGCCTCAACAAGTTGTTTCAGATCCAACTGAAGGAAAAAAACCATTCCATCTTGCTCTGATAGTCTTCCCTGAACCTGGCTTGAAGGAAAAGAGTTACAAGCCAAATTTTTAATATATATCTGTCTGAAAAGGACTTAAAATTAGACACCAAGAAAACACCTACAGGAATTAAGAGGGCCCAGGTCAGACCTTGGGACTCTGTCGTTGGAGCAGCACTGCACCCTAATGCATCCTACCAAATTTTGCAACCTCTTAATATGCATATTTCATCTAATTCAAGAAGACACATGTGCAGTTCCCAGCAGGCATAAGGAAAAATCCCCCATAAATCAAATCCCACCAGGCATCAAGGTAAGCAAAGAAACGTAGCACTTTCCATTGTAGCCAGCTGCAGTTATATTGACAAGATACCCCTTCAAATTCAGTCCCTTCAAACATTCTCAATAAGAAACAAACCCTTAGATTGATATATCTTAATTGTGGTCCATGCAAAATAATACATTTGTCTTGGGCATTTGTTTAACATGTAACACTTTTTGTTGGTTTTTTTTTTTTTTTCCTTACTAGGATGGATCCTGGATGCTGCAATGCTCTCACGTCAGGATACCGAAAAAGAGGTTGTTGCATCTTCTAACCGTAGAGTTGGTGAAGTTTCCCTGTGTGCAGGGAATACAACATTTATGGACAGGAAACTGGTTTCCTTGCTTTGCTGTTTTGTTGTTGCTGTTGTTTTCAAAGGGGCTAACACTCTTAGTTGCAGGAAACTGAAACTGCGTGTCAACTGGGATTGGAGAAGGAGGCAGAGAGAATCCCATACAAGATTCAAATGTGTCTCATTTCTGGGAAAGCTACATAAAGCAAGATTCCATCACCAGTGGCTAAATAGCAGCAATCTATGAGCTGTTCATCAAAAGCCCCAGACAAGAACCGAGTCCTGTGGGAAGCTGGAAAAAGACTCCATTGTTGAAACTTATTTTAAACCTTTTTTTCAAGTGAAGGATCCAGTCCTGGCAAATGGTTAAGGTCAGGCCTTAGAAGAGCAAATCGCTTTCTCTAGGGAATCAACAAGTGGCCAAAGTCTGTCCATTTGACTCCTTGTCTTTCGGCTTTGGATTACTGAGCTATTTAAAACTGTATTTTCATAACTCAGATAAATGGTAGATGTTTCACATAGCTCTACAAGTAGTAATCATCCTGTTGGTGCATATGATATCTAAGGGATGGGCCCAAACTAGAGGTATTTCTCATTTACCTATGAAGTGTCTTGCTTTAGCATATGTACAGTCAACTCTTGTTGTGAACGTGCGAGTCCGTTGCCTGCTCTAAAGGAGGTAGTGACTTAGTTTCAGTGGCTGTAGGGAGTTTCACTGAAGTAGTACTGTTTGTAGTCTTTCCTGTGATTTACAAGGCACAATAGCCAGCTAGTTCTGAAAATGTAATATAATTGTATACAGTGTTCCCAGAAAATGCTCTGAAGTCATCCCCCATTGCTCCGTTGTGATAAAAAACCTGTGTTGCTTTTCAAGCTCCAAGTCCATGCTGTGCTGTGCTGAAACTAATGGAAAACCCAATTAGCCCTGAAAAGCAAAGTGCAGAGAGGGATGCTCTGGCCTGGAATCCCCTCCCTTTGGCAGCAGCAAAGGTCAGGCGTGCAGGCCAACATCCATGGCCAAAGGGGAATCCACCCTGTGTGTGTTGGCAGCTCTGTGCATAGGAGAGGGGGAGGATGGGTAGAAAGAATTGATTCTGGGAGGGGAGAGACTGAGAGGAAGAACAGAGTAGAGAATACCCTGAGCATGACGACTGGGATTTTCAGAAGGTACTTTGATGGATGCTGGGCACCCAACTTCCCTAGGACTCTTTATCAATAACACTCTCCACATTTTTTTGAGTGACTTTTAGCCTCACAGTCAAAGTGTGAGGAAAAGGAGGTGGAAGGCAGCTCACTCTAATTTGGCAGCTCTTCACGCCTCTACCAGGCTAGGACCATAATACCTCCTTATGGTTGCTGGCTGAGGGTCTGATCCTCTGATGACCTGTGTCTTTCTGACTTCAAACAGGCTTATAGGACTAGGCTTAAAGGTGAGAGATCCAAAGATGTTTTTGGAGCAGGTCTGCTCAATAGTCCTCAGTGTGGCTGTGAGCCCACTGTTCTTAGGAGGCAACATTCCCTCCACGTTCCTATTGTTTGGGTGCAAACAAAACAGAGACCTACTCTACATCTTAGTGCAGGCTAGCTTGCAGTGTAGGACTTCTCTGGGTTCCTGTGTCTGCTGATCTGTGAGGCAAGGCCATGCGGCTGACTATGGGTCACCAGAGCTACCAGGGGTCCTTCTTGCAAGGGCAGTTGTCTTCAGAGTCAAGTGAAGTGCAGGCTGCCTTTAGAAAGATGTGAATACGATGCAGAAGTCTATGGGTACCCTTCAGACACATGGCACACAGGTCAGACTTTTACCCTTCAGACACATGGCACACAGGTCAGAGTTTAGACTTCAGACCATGCTGTGTGCCAGCACAAACAGCAGGAATGTTAGTTACGGGATTGCTTTGCTTTTGCTTGTGAAACCTTGCTCTGATGCATTCTTTCAAGGAAGACAGTTGGGATTTACAGGCCAGACCATGTAGTGAGATAAGTTGTTCCAGCTCCCTTACTGGAGCTAGGCTGATTAATACAAGCCTGGCCCAATATTTATGAGGAATTGTGGATGGAAGGGGTTTTTTGATTGTTGCCCTGAAAACCTGAAGGCTTCCAAATAAATTCTGTTTACCATAAGGTAAACAGAATTTTTAGATGGAGCAAGTGCTTCAGGCCGTTTGCTGATTCGGACTTTGAGAATAAGGTTTTTTGTAGAGAATCCCACACACAGTGGGAGAAGAGATTATTTGGGCTTGGAAGCTGACCAAGGAGATGGGGCAAATCTGAGCTTTGAACAGCAATCATTGTCTTTATTGGTGATGCCATAGTATGTGCTTGACTCAAACCCAACATGCACAGAGCAGAACCTGATGAAATCATGTACCTAGGTATTTGTGATTGTTCCTACCAGTGTGATCCACTGTTAAATAGGCTAGACATGTGAATAAAATCAATATTTTTTAAGCTGCAGTGTGGTTTTTATGTCAAAAGGACTGTTTGCACTCTTGGACTTTATTATCTTCATATGAAATATTTGATGTGGAATTAATACAGCTGTACAGCTTTCTTAAGACAGTTCACAGCCACTTGCAGAAGTGCACCTTTTCTCCTTCAGAAATGATTACTGCAGTACTGCACTGAACACCTGCCACAAGGAAAGAAGTGAAGGTAACTGAGGATGTCCTCTTCCTAGTCCTGCAGGGGTGATCCCTCTGTTCTGTGTCACAGCAGCCAAGGCCACTCAATTTTCCATCCAGCTGAAGTGATCTCATGGCCAGAGATCAGTATAGTGCTGGTGAGAGGTGTGTGTGTCTCATCATGTCTGTTGCTACTGCCTCTGTCCCTCCCCTTTGTGGTCCTTCAGATAGCAAAGGATGGATTTGTTTTAAAGGACTTTCTTCTTTTTTATGTACTGTCTAGCTCCATGCCAGCCCTTGCCCAAGAAAAGATTATTTTGAAGATATACCTGAGGTCCTTTTGCATATCCCAGATTCTGGGACTTGTTGGAAACCTAAGCAAAATTGAGCTGCCAAAGCATTCTACAGGTGGATGCAGTATGTCCAGGTGTGTTACAGGCAATAGCATCAGATAAATGGTCTTCTGCTCAGCCAAAAAAAAAGAATTAATCAGGTTCGCGTTACAGTTCAGATGTAGTCATGTCCAATGATGCATACCCCCTTATCTCCCCATCATGACCACTTCTCTCCCTTTTTTGTTTATTAAGTGAAACTTAAAATGCCCTAGAATTATTTTTTTTTCCTACAAAAATGCCCATTTTATCCAGCAGGCAATGAAGGTCTGAAGTAATACCAAGGAAGGAATGGTCATCTTGTCTTTCTCAGGCTGCATGTAGGTGGTCATTCGTCAGAACTGTAAATGGATGATGGAGATAAAAGTATTTCTAGTCAGGCTGTAAGCTTAGTCCTGACCTCTACTCTCATAAATACTTACATAATAAAAATATATTGCTGTAGAAACACATACTTTTGCACAGAACCACACTGCACTGGTGTGTGGTGATGCTGTGGTATCAACGATCACAATTTCCTGCACGCTTCACATTCATAGAATCATAGAATGGTTTGGGATGGAAGGGACCTTAAAAATCATCTAGTTCAAAGCCCACACCATGGGCAGGGACACGTTCTGCTAGACCAGGTTATTCAAAGTTCCATCCAGCCTGGCCTCCAGACCCTTAGCCATTTTCTCCCTGCATGCTGGCACCAGCCCTAATTCTACATCTTTATCTATTTGGACAAGCTGTCTTCTTTTAACAGGACAGTGTGACATGCAGCCTGGTTCATAGACACAATATGATCTTTGCTACTTTCTTGAGGGAAGCAGCCAGAAATTGAGGCTAATGGGTTATTTGCACAAAAAGACGAGAAGAACACACTTTAATTTTCAGTGATGCCAAGGGCAAAGGAAATTATTACGTGGTTTCCTTCTGAAATCTGGGATTCAGAGAGTCATGGCAAAAAAATACAACTACTCCAAGCTCCAGAAACAAATGTGATTTTAAGGTCTGTGACACCCTTATAGTCTGCATGACTTACTGCAGTGTAACTGCTGTATGATGGATGAATCAAAGAGTGTTTTGATCCAGTTTTAGGGTTAAGTGTGGGAGCTTCTTTTTAGAGTAAGGATTGAAGAAGGCATAAGTTGTCCAAGGTTAACCCAGGGGCTGATCAGTCGACCTACATCTGCCATAAAGGCCCACAGACCCTATGGAGTATGAGATCACAACTGCATTTTTGTATTATATAGGTGTAAAAGAAACCTATATAAGAAGGAGCATAAAGAAGGAGCAGCAGAGAGGAGTATAAATTTATTATTTTTGTGTACATAATTCATATTTATGATTATAATTGGCTTATTATAATAATTTTCCTGGAAGTGAATTAGCAATCCCAGTAGAGAATACAGTTTGAAGAGTCATTGAATTAGAAGAAATTAAATCAAAGACAGACTGGCATCTCTCCTATTAAATAACTGTGGCAGAAATTGTGTTGCAGATATACAGAATGACTGCTGACAAATCACCAGAACTGAGTGGTTTTTCACTCATGGCTTTCAAGAGAAATAGTGGAATTACTTATGGCACTGTATAATCCACTCAAAATTCCATTGGTGAATCCACTTAAACTTGCATTGGTGCCTGAAGTCTGGAGAGTAGCCAGCATGGTGCCATTCTTTAAAACAGTTTCCATCAGGGTATCTAAGGACCTGTGGTCTCGTAAATTTGACATCTGTCCTAGGCAAATTAATAGACAATATAAGAAAGAACTGAATTAATGAATGCCTGATCAATGCAAAAAATTTCCTTTAGAAAAGTCAACATGGTTTCTATTATGGGAGGTTTTGCCTTAAAAAAGTAAATTTTTGAAGGGGTAAACAGTCACAATGATAATGGTGAGTATATTGGGTTAGGTTAGATTTCCAGAAGGCTTCACAGGGAACTGTACAGACATGGGATAAGAAGGAAGACCCTAGCATGGTTAAAAATGTGAAAGATCAGGTAGAGTCTCTCACCAACTTATAGAACGGAGCGAAGTCACTGTTGGATGGGGTCTGTCCTGAGACTTGTGCTGTTCTGCACTTTCAAAAATGATCTGGCAGAGGGGGTGAGCCGTGAGTTGATCAGCTTTGGTGGTGATAGGAAGTTCTTCAGGGCAGTAAGGAAAAGGACTGGCTGCAAAGAGTTGCAGAAGGCCCTTACAAGACTAAGTGACAGTGCAATGAAAAGGCAGACAAAAGTCTGTGGGGGTAAATGTAAAGAGATGGCTATGGGGAAAAATAATCCTAGCTTCAGTGACAGGCACTGAGTTGGTCCTTGCTGATCAGAAATGAGACAATGTGGTTATGACAGATATCTCCATCGAAAATAATCTCAGCATTAAGTAGCAGTCTAAATAGCAAATCAAATATAAGGCTCTGCTAGGAACTTGAGTGCCATCTGCAGTCCTGGTACCCCATCTTCAGACTGTAAGTGGAAGATGTTTGGAGAAGGAAAGGAGGATCATCAGTGTAGGCAACAGCTCTGCTTGAGGAGTGACTGAGTGAGCTGGCATTCTTCCACCTGGAAAAGAGGCTATGGGTGTTGGGGAATGTATGACAGAGGTGTAATTTATGAATGGTATGGAGAGCTTGAGTAGGGATTAAGAGTTACCTGTTTCTTCTGGGGTAACTAAACCTGGAGCAATCAAATTAGGCTGTTGAGATCCAGGTGTAAAACACAAAGGAGGTGGTACTTCCTGCAAAGAGAAGAAGAACTGGAGAGCTCACTGACAAAGGATAGTGAGGAGGCAAGAATTTTACATGGAAATAAGAGCAAATCCAATAAACAGTAGTTGAAGAGATTGATCGCAGGTCAAACAAAACACAACAGAACACATAGAAATTGTGTCGTATACGTTCTGTTTTTATATTTCTTTCAGTGTCTGCTTGTGGTCATTCTTCAGACTTGTTTCAGAAGATTGGTAGAAACAGAAAACCTAGATCTAGACCAAAATCAGATCAACTTCAATAGTAAATTATATTAAATGAATTTATATAGCTTCAACCCTTTGAAGATCTAGATCTGATCTTTCCCAAGCTCTGATGGAGTCAGATAATTGTGTTCCAATCATTTTTGGTTTGCAGATCTTCTAAATATTGATGATGGAGGTGAGAATAGCGGTAAATACGAGCTTACTGACAAATGGCTATTTGTTCTTAATGGACTTTATGGACTCCTTAAAACTTGTCCACAAACCCTTAAAGAATCTTGAACAATAGCTCAATGGGCACTAGATGGACTGTGTAGAGTTTATCCTTACTTCCCAAATTTATTGTAGGCAGCGGACAACCACCCAAACTAGCTAGTCAGTAGACACAACAGTGAAAGTATGACGTTCATGAAGAAGGGAGATGAGAAGTGGTCACCTGGGAAAGATGGGAGCTCTACTTCTATTTGTCTTTGTGACTTGGCGAAATGTGTCTTCATTAATTACCACATCCAAAGAATTGAACTGAAGTGATGATGTTCTTGGTGACACCATCAGTTAACACAAAGCCTGTGTAGCACACTCGTGCTCTTTTAAAAGGGAAGAAATCATATTCCATCCCCCAGACCAATCTGAGCCAGTGTGACTGGTGTGTTTACCTCTGAATGGAGCAGGCAATCTGCCTGTGTATTGATTTTGTGCACATTAATAGCTCCTAATAGCCCAGGCCATTTCCTGAGTAGCAATTTGCATATTTGTAGGGGAATACTTTCCTTGTTTATTAATAGAAAAATTCACCCTTTACAGTATGTCCTGATGCTGAACAGAAAAAGACCATTTCAAGCCACTTTGTAATAGTCAATGATGCATCATGTAACCACTATCTCTATTATGCTTGCAGTCAACAAGCCTGGAGTGGATTGTGAGCCCAGTGTGGTGTATTTGGGGCCATCAAGTTCAGCCAGTCCTGCGGGAGAAGCAAATGTTCATACAAGACATGCTTTTGCTCTGATCACTTGATCTTTCTCTCTTGGCATGCCATTGTGAGGGTGAAAACCAGCAGGACTGCTTCCTCAGTGGTTTGTAGGATGCAGTTTGGGGATAGCGAGAATCCAAGCCTAAGTACTCAGTAGAGCAAAACACGCTTTTGCACTTGCACCTGAATGTTATTTGGGAGTTGGAGGTGTCTGTGGAAGCTCCACGTGTATGTATCTTTGTCAAGCAGGGGCTGAAGGTAGCCTTGGGACATCCCTGGGTTGTGACATGTTTGCTGATGACCCGAGGAAGGTGTTACAGAGACACCGTGTTTCAGGAAGTCACCTCCTTTCCTAAACTTCTTTGCTATATAGGGATGTGTAGTTGTAGCTTCTTCCAAATCAGCTGGGTACTGGTTACCTCCTGCAGCTGCTCTTTCTGTCTCCTGATTACTCTGTAAAGACAACATAGTCCTTCTGTTGCTTTATAGGTCTGTATTGGAAT